GAGGTTTATATCAATCACCAAGGTGGCACATAGTCGAGATCCCTCTGTTTCCATACATTGGATCTCCTATATTGGGCCAGGGGCTTTCAACCTCATGGCAGATTGTCTTTCCTGCTCCAACAGGATTTACCTGACAGAGTGGTCTCTTCATCCTCTTGTTTTCCCATGGCTTTGCAATCTGTGGGACTTTCCTCATATTGATGCATTTGCCACCACCCTAAGTCACCAGTTACCCCTCTTTTGGTCCCCAGTACCTCATACTCAGTATTTGGCTATAGATTTCTTCAGCCAGGATTGGTCATACACATTCCTCTGGTTTTTGCCTATCACCACTTGCTGTACTGCAGACTCTGATACTGGGTAAGTCTTTATTAATACTTTCTTTTCTTTCAGGGGCCCATTCTTCATACCTTCATTACATGGATCCCACTCTGTGGCGAGTCGTGCCTGACCAGGTATTCTTTAATTCTAAATCGGCACTGTATTCCATGTAGACTAGTGCTTTCCATGGCTTTGCATGCTCACCTTTTTGATGGGGTGTTTCACAAGATCGCACTGTATTCCATGTAGACTAGCGCTTTCCTTTCCATGGCTTTGCATGCTCACCTTTGAGATGGGGTGTTTCACAAGATCGCTTGTAGGTGAATAACCTTGCAATATTTATTTCATAAGTTGTCTCGTCTCGGACCGTATCACTCATGGACTTCATGAGTAAAGCAGAAAGGGATAGCTGCCCATCCCTGCCATGCCTTGATTGAATAAATCGGTAGGGTCTGCTTTTCAAAATAGGGTTTCATGATCACCCATTGCACTGTCTCTGGTGTTGATGTTCCTCCGTGCTCTTGAACACATTCTCAGCCCCATTTTTTTTTAGTGGAGTATGAGAGTCCCTATAACTCGCCAGTTCCAAGCCGCTGGGGTGGTGACCATGGAGGCACCCTGCTGGATGAATTCCACATAAGATGGCTATAACCATTCAGTTCAGAGTAGGATGGTGGTGTACTGCTGGTGTAGATGACGTAATATTCTCCAATTTGCCATTAACCATACAACGAAGTGAGATATCAAAAATGCGTTCACCCCTTCGAATGGGAGTGCTCATCCTACCCTCGTATGGATGTCAGTACCCCTTGGGCTGGTTTTGGATTTCAATTAAACTAATCAACATAAGTCCTCACACAGGTTTAGGGTTGTCTATTTTCCTCCCTTAATTTCCTCCTTGTGTGTTGTGGGTCACAGCAGGTATATGTGGGATTATTCCAGTTCTATCCTTGGCTTTCTCTTGTTCACTCTCTTATTACGTGGATGTTATTACGTCACGTGAGTGTACTATTCTCCTATTGGTGGAGAAGTGACACATGATGATTTGCATGAGAGACATGTTGGAATCATTTGATTCCAGTAGGAGAATACGGAAGGCTTGTGGCATGCGTAATAAAAAAGCTTGCATATAGAGGGCAGCAATGAACGAGATTAACTAATCTTGTGAGCGGAAGGAAGTACCTATTGGAAGTGCATTTTCAGTATAGGAAAATTATAACATTCTGACTCTATTTCAACAATTGTTAGCTCAAAGATATTTTAGAACTGATGTTTTTTAATTTTGTAACATTAATTTAGTATAACTGGAATGGAAAAAATGTTTAAAGTTTCAAGCATATGTTTCTACACAACTCTGAGGTGTGTCTGCTTAGAAACAACACTTATTGATTGTGTTAATAATGTGACAATAAATACTAATTCAGTGATGAGTAACTAAAAATGTCTTTCTACAACTAGGTAGTTGATAAGAAAGCTTTTTTGTTAGTGGCCTATTTGAATGGGATTATCAGTTTTGCATAGTGGTTACATATTTTATGAGATAAACAATACAATTCTCTACACTTTGGTTTGGTTTTGTGTTTTATAGGTTTATGGGGTGTTGGTCTTGCTAACTCTGAAGTTGACCTTAATCATGTACCACTTGGACAAGACAGTCATTCATGGGTCTTGACAAGTGAGGGAACAATAACTCATGAAGGTGAAGTTGTAGATAAACTCCCAGAAGTGCTTCAAGAAGGTGATGTACTGGTAAGTCAGTAGTATTTCTTTAAGTAAGATATGTAAGATATTTCATCATGACACAGTCTGAAAGATCTTTATTTGTTCATTGAATTTTTAATGTACTGGGGCTTCTTCTTGTACATAACAGCAGAGTACTGATTGCTTTGTGAATATGTTTTCTCAGTAATTGAATCCAGTTATAATCTGCATTTGAAACACTTTTGTATTAATGTCTGCACATTGAGTAGACAACCAGTACACGTATCTTGCCAGTTTGTCAGATGTTGGAGAGGGGAGTCTAGGATTAAGAAGTCTTAATAATAGTTTTACATGAAACTTTAGGCTAGAGAAAATTAAAAACTATTGAATTAGTTATTTGTTTTAAATAATAATATACATTTTTTTGTAGTAGAAATGATTTTCATATTGTATGAAATTAATTATTTTTAACATCACAACTTGTATGTAAGCATTACACATTAGTTTGTGTACTTCGTATGGTTTGTATACTGTATATTCCTAAGAAACTGTCTTGTGACCTAGTATATGAGATAGGTATAAGGCTATTGTCCCACTATGTTGTGTACATTAATTAGTAATGAAGCGAGATGTAACTCATAAGTTCGTTCTACCCATGGAATGTTTGCAGTGATTGTTAGAAAGAAGAGATAAATGCTTGCAATATACAAATGATAAAACCTTTATTATATCAATTAACAGAAAATACAAAATATTTGAAAACATTTGCAATAATTAATCTCTTTAATAATTGTTTCCTTGTTTCACTTACGATTACGTTTTAACAAATCATTCTCCTATTGTTCTTATTTATTGAACTTTATATGAAAACATAGAAGTAAAATAAATTTAAAGCTTGAATGATGTTTTGCTGTAGGGAATTACATATGATCATGTGGAGATGAACTTCTTTATCAATGGAAAACCTCTTCATACTCCTATAACAGGAATTAAAGGAGAAGTATATCCAGTATTATATGGTATGTTTCATGATGTTTAGGTGATTTTAAACTGTATATCATAATTAAAGAGACTCTTCATACTCCTATAACAGGAATTAAAGGAGAAGTATATCCAGTATTATATGGTATGTTTCATGATGTTTAGGTGATTTTAAACTGTATATCATAATTAAAGAGACTCAATTAACCAAAGTGCTTTCAAGAAGCTTTTCCAAATGGATGAAGGTAATTGTGAAAGTCAGTTAAGTGATTTTTAGTGAAGCCATGGGTAGCTATTGCAACCCAACTTAACCATGCAAAAGTGTTTACTTTCAGTTAAAAAATTAATATTGCAGGTGTAACAGTGTTTTGTAGTGTGAACTAAAGAAGGCAATAGGAGGGAAAACGGGGAACCAGAAAACAAAAAGTAAAAACAAAAAATGTGGAGAAAGCAGCAAAGGCTTTAACCCATTACCTGCTATGGCCATTTTGTCTTATCGTGAAGGCAAAATCACATTTATGATTGAAAAAATTATAGATAACTTATCTTTTATTGGATTTCAGATTTTATTGTTGTAAATAGTAGCATAACATTCAATTATTTGTCCTAAGTTGTATTATTTAATGAAGATTAAAGAGGAATTTAATGAAAAAATCCTAAAATATGTTTGAGGCTGTAAAGAAATGTCCTCTAAGAATAAATTTTTTTTTCAAAATTAAGAAAAAATTTTTCATTCCACTTCAGTACTGGTCCTGCCGTCTATGATTGATATTTAAACCTTTTTCTAATCTGTTTTTTCATAAAACAGCATCTGGACGTGTTAAACCTCAATTGTAAAACTTTTTAGCCAATCCTAGTCGAAGGTATGAATTTCAGTACCGTGTTATTCCAATTGCTGTATTTCACGTTTGACAAATCATAGGATGATAAGCAAAGCATGTGATGAAACATTTTTCTCTGGATTTTACTATATGAATGTGGGCGGTGCTTATTATAGTAACTGCCATTTTATGGTCAATAATACTTTTCTATAAGTGTTAGAAAACTTGCTTCTGGAAAAAACTGCATTAGATGT